CTCATCTTATCTTAACATTATTCTTCTCTTAGGTAGAGATAAATCGCAGTTTCAGGATATATTTACAAATATTTTTTGAGTTTCATATAATGGGTTCTCTGCATTGCCCTCTAAAGCGTCCTTATGCGGTTCCTAGGTTGTTCCACTTAAAAACTCGTCAGGTTTCATGATTCTGGCAAGTATTGCTATTTGCTCTGCTCGGATCCGACAACAGCCACCAGCCCATTGAGCAAGAGGCATGACACCATTCGGTCCCGCTGTCATCATAAAGTCCCCTATTCGGCGTTTGACAACGTGTTTGGCGAGTTCCCTGATCCACTCCTCTGGCGTTTTATTTTTGGGCCATAACCATCGGCCACGGCACGGACTTGCTTTCTTTTCTTGTGCTTTTTCATGCAATTTATTTCTGGAAATGCGCTTCCAAACCTCACCACTATTTGGATAACATATAAGGAGCTTGCTGTTGTACTGTTTGTCCTTAGATAAGCTCTCTATCAGCCTGGCTGGAGGATGAAATCCCTCCTCCGTACATGATTCACCACCACACAATTTGTTATCCTGATTAGCCTCCTTCAAGTTAGTCAATGCTTGGCCAATTAGATGATTCGGAATGCAGCAATTAGTTCCTATAGCAAATATCTAATTTTTAAAAAAATACCGAGTTAGTGATAATTATGCCTCTTTCGGATTTCTATAATTATGTACTCGCCTGTGGACAGTCATATGTGGCGCTGGCTATCGTTTGCAGTGGGTCTCCTGACACAGTATTCTGACCATCAAGAGACGCAACAGAAAGCCATGCAGCGATATTTGGATATCCATTGAGGGCCAGATTTCGTGTGAGATTAACTATTGCACGCACCTCCCGGAGGCAAGGAATTGTTTCCCAAGCTATCAGGTCCACACCAGCATCCAGTAAAATCGTAGCTCGAGGACGGTGAAATTCCATCAGGAAACTTTCGGTGATGTCATCTGCGTATTCCCCTAAAACATAAAATTAATGATCAAATCTCGAATTCGGGGAATAATTTGGTACGGATGATAGCCGAGATCAATAAAAGGCCTTTTCAACAGATGGGAGTGACTAAATTGATCTGGACTAAGCAAAGGCAGCAGACTGGGGCCAATTGGATAATGCGATCACTCTGACCACTAAAAATATTATTATCTAAACCTTAAATGCTGGTGGATGCCTTTCAAAATCTGACACCCAGAAGAATCAATGTAAATCGTGATTTATAGGATAAAAGCCCAATTAAATGTTTTGATCGCATGAAATATAGCCTTCCTCCTAACCTGTGTACTCTGATCCGTTGGCCTGGCATGCTCCGTATG